ATGATGAATGAATGCATGATGGATGGATGGATGAATGAATGCATGATGGATGATGGATGGATGAATGAATGTATATGGATGATGAATAATCCATCAGTCTAAGATTCAAAGAGACAATTTGATACAAAACCCCAGATGCTTAATGTTGACATGTTTTTTAATGAGATTCTCTGTTGGATGTAAAAAAAATATTATTTTGCTCAACATTTGCAGCTTTGCTCAAAGAAAGATAAATAATTAGAAAGCTTTTATTTTTATTGAATATTTGGATGAAAGAGTGAAGAGAAAAATATCAGTGAGCTGCAAGCGACAGGCCTCTGTAGACGTCTCCTCCGGATGAATATTTCTGTTCAGTGTTTATTTATTGCTCCTGCAGATTCTTTGGACTGTCCTCTGCTGCTGCAACACAGCAAATCCAGTTTGTTCTTATCTCAGGCTTTAAGTTGGAGATCAGCGAGTGAGTGACTGAAACGAGATGTCACGTTGATTCCGTCGTCGTTCACCTGAATCAGAGATTATGTTATAAACACGTACCGTGAATCATTTAAAGCGTGTTGGACGTTTTGTCCTGGTTCGTTTTAAAGTGTGAACCCTGTGAAGAAATAAAATCAGAGTCAGCTGACACGATGGTGAACTCATGGAGACAGTTGCCACGGAGACCGGCGCACGTCATCCTGCCGCGGTTGCCATGGCCCTCATGACGTCAAAGCCCCTCGCAAGATGCTTAGGAAACCCCCTGGCACGGTCGCCATGGATACTGGCGGGGGGAGGGGTGCGGCTCAGAGGAAGCGGAAGTGTCAGAGCAGGCGGAAGTGGTACTGCCCTGAAGACCCTGAGCAGCGAGCGGAGGACGGCTTGATAAACTCGCATCTTCCAGAGACTTCAATCGGCACTCCGAGCACGCTCCAAATGTGAGTTCCCCTCCATATCACTCGATTAATGTCTCCTCTGCCCGTCCGCGGAGAGTTTTTATCGGGGCGAACTGCGGCCGCGGCGGTGGCCTCATTCCCTGCGTCTGCGGCGAAAGGTGCCCATTGTGGCACAGGGCTGGGTGCGAGGATTTAAGGCCGAGCGCTGCGCCTCAGCGGCGAGAAAATAACCCCCCGAAATAAACACCCGCGGGGCGGTCTGCGCTCTCCCCGCGGTCGAGTGCGCCGCGGACGGACGCTTTCCCTCCCGCGCTCCCCTCCGTGCGCGGTGCCCAGCCAAGGTTTGCCCGTGCGGGGTGGGAGCAGACGTACCCGAGCTGGGCCATTTTGACAGCTTAGCAGCGGCCGTGCCCCGGGCCGTCGTGAGCGCAGCCGAGACGTCTCCTCCGGGCGCAGGTGCCAGCGCCGCCACACGGCGCATAGCGGACTTCCAGCCCGGCGCCTCGGGCTATAACGGGACGCTGCACTAACCGCCCCATTTACGGCTTAGACGGCGCTTTTGTCGACGACCGAGCCGAGCTCTGTCATGGCGTAGTGAATCTATATGTAAGCTAACGCACCCTCCCTCTTCCCCGGGAGTCTCCCCCGCTGATTCGGGCTCATATTTAATAATCTCGTGGTTTTGTGTTTTATATAATCGTTCTCACGCAGCGGCATTTTTTATTTTTATTTTTTTTTACCCTCCGCCCATTTCGGCTCTTAGCGCATTGCATCGCCGTCTCACCCACCGAACTGGGTCAGCTCCCGTTAGCCGCTAAGCTAGCCGATCTAGTCAACGACCGTTGCGTTGATGTTCAGTTAGCATGCTAAGCTAGGTGGCGGTAATCTAACTCTCCATTTTAAAATTCCGCAGGGGAATGCGACAAGGAGGGCGTAGCTGATCGCAGGCCGAGGCAGCGGCGGCGGTGCAGCCCAGGGTCTCCTCGGGCCTGCGCGGGGACGGTTGCTCGGCGTCAGCGGGCGAAGCCTCTGCGGAGGCTGCTTTTATTAAGCCGTTCATCGCGCCTCATGTCCGCTTGTTAGAAGACGCTGCTGTCCATTTTTATTCGGTGCGCATGAGCCTGTTAGCCTTTTCACGGCGCTGCAACAACAGCACCGCGGACGTGCAGTGGGTTAGCGTCGAGTTCGGGCGATTTGCGGCCGACGGAAGAGGCCCGGGGTGGATCGATTTTAACCGACGTGTGGGTCACCGCGGCGGTGCACTAACGAGCCACTAATGCGCCCGTGTCCGCGATGGCGTTCTGCTCGATGCTAATTGCTAACGCGAGGATGCTAAAAATGAGACAGGTTCGCCTCGGAGGCATTACGCGTTTGTGAGAGTGACACCGATTCAATGCCACGTGCAGACATTAAGATTTACCCCCTGGTCGACTTTATATAAAGAACCGTGTTTGAGTTTCTTTCATAGACTCTGTATCTGCCTGTAAGAGGCTTTGCTGCTGTGAGGACACACCTGAGAGAACCCAGTGAAAGCCCACGTCAAAAGACGAATGTGAAATGTGTGATTTCAAAACTTAAATGTGGGAATTCTATTCCTGAAATCATAATTTTTCTGTGGAAATGTGCATAATGAACTTGAAACCACCAACAGGTTAATTTTAAATAACCAAAATCTGATGCTTGGCTTGAATAAATTCACCAGAATATCAAAATCTATACATTTTGTCATTCTCTGGTTTTTCCATTCAAAATAAATCACTGTCTTGTGTATGTTATTTGTTGAATTAAACAAGCAATAGCCCTTAAAAAGTAAAAGTACTGTATGTACCATAGCACCGAACATGCATTTAGTTAATTGTTTAATTGAAGTACTTCTTTTTTCCTGTGTATTTCTTGCATCATTGTAGTTTTAATGCATTTACTGCAGGTTGCTTTGCATCGAAGCACCTGTCACATGGTCAGGTGGATTTCTGGCACTAGTATCTGTACAATTTTCTTAAAGGAATGTGATTGAAAGGTGCTGCAGGGAGATAAGATCAGTTACCTAATGGAGAACAGAAATAGTTAACCTAGTAAGGCTCTTATTGAAATGGTTGAATTATATAATCTGATCAAGACAATACCACAGAAAGGTGATAATTACCAACTTAATTTCTCAGAATCAGAACTGATGTATTAAGATGGTTTTGTTCAACACAGGCTATATATTATATTAACTGGTTAACATAATGGTTTGGTAAATGGTTTGTATTTACATAGCGCTTTTCTAGTCAAAGGTACAAAGATACAGTACATCTTGCCCAAGGACACTTCGGCATACGGATGGGGAAGACTGGGGATCGAAGTGCTGACCTTCTGGTTGGACCTACACTCTGCCCACGTAATAACAATAGTTGTGGTAAAAACAGAATAGAATTAAGTAAAAAAAGATTAAAATCTTAAACAAGATACACAATTAGTCATAGTAAGATGTCAAATCTTTTGAAATCTAAATCACATGATGTCTCATACAATTTGTGATTAATATGCACTTCTAAATTCTTACACTCAAACAATTAAGAGTGAACACATAGTATTGGTGATTTTCGGCATTTGAGATTTGCCAAGCAATCATAATGTCCTCATGGCAACCATAACACTGGTGAATTGTAGAGATCTCAGGTTTCGTCTCAATGAGCTTCCTGATAATGGAGGAAATGGGCCTTCTGAATTCACAAAGGTCCCATACGCTAATGGCCGCTCCATTTATATTTTTGGTAAACTAATGGAACTGCACTCAATATCAGCAGATAATTGATTTTTTGGATTCAGCCCTTCAATCAGCATTGGGAATGAGGCCCCGACCGTAAAAAGGGATAATTAACACATGCTCCTTCACACATAACCTTCATATATTATAACTGTCTTCAAGTCAATAGCTATCATAGCTAACATTTAGAAAATGCTTTTTTAATTCAAGATGTCATGTAATTATACTGTTGGTGATATTATTCTATAGTGGTGTTCTTATGGGTATTTGAATCCTCTAACACTCCTGGTAAATATTTTCATTTTGCCAAACCCGCATGTGACGTGACTAATATCTGTTGTGTCATTAATTTAATGAGGTGTCAAGAATATGAGTGAGTATATGTATTTTTTCTGTGAAACAATACAGTACAAGGCCCATGGGTGATGTCTGTATTGACACCTCCTTTGGAATCGATTACTGTAACTGATCGATAATTTTCATGTCTCAGTAATTGATAGAACACTAAAAAAAAATCCAGACCACATTCTTTTCACACTGTTTTTACAGTCCTCCTTTTTCCTGGCTAGGCTTCCATATTGATTTTCTGTCAGTCACGTTAATGGTTATTGTATTAGCTCAGACCTCAGTATCTGTGGAAACCCACTGTTAAATAACTCTGACTGGACTAACTCTCCGACTAGAGACCGTGTTCACTGAAACATTTTGGGTTAAATCTAATAGGGCTGTTGTTTAAAAAAAAAAAAAGAAGAACCCAACGTAAATGGCATGCGTTGAAATGTATTCCAATACACACGTCTCTCCAACGTATGCAGTCAGACAAGGTTAATCGCTTAGTTCTGCTCGTCTGTGGTGCCTCCTCTGCCTCATTAAGGTGGAAAGTCATTGAAGAGTAAGAGACTTTTATGGTTCAAAGTCAACAAACAGCTTTGCCTTTGTTTGTTACGTTGCCATCTGCAGCTTAAAAACATCTCCACAACCCGCTCCTGAGATGGTTTGGTGTCGTGATGGTCCCCTCGGGAAGTCCTCCGTCAAAATGAATTTTTGAATTTCGGATTTAAAGTGATGTCCCTGAAATCTGAAATAAAATTCCCTGTTAAAAAAAAAAAAAAATCCAGATACTTGAGAATCTCTGACTTGAACCACATGCGTCTATGCCATGGTGACCCTGTTCTGTTGTATTCATCATAGCTTGCACCTCTTTTGCTCACGTAGGGAATCATCAATCTACTTCCACAGGGCGCTCAGAGGTCAGGTAAGCGTCAAATTGATTGCAACATGGGGATGTTTGGGTTTCTCTGGTGGAATGGTTACTTGGTTACGCACCCAGAACAGAAACCTTTTATTGTGGAGATGTGACGGTGAAGCTGGTTTTGACATATTTTACTTCAAGCGTTACAGTAAAGTAACTTAATCTGCAGCTGTTTATATATAGAAATAATATAATTACACGTTTATTTAAATGAATACAAGTAATGTAGATGCTTTAAACTGGTCGGAGTGCTTAGTACAGGCTTTACAGAGTGATGTGTAGATAAGGAGGAGATGTAGATGAGGCTGTGGCCTACTTAGACCTACAGATTCATCTGGAGAGCAGGAAGCCCCGGGGGACGAAATAACTGGGAGCAGCCATTTCACTGGACGTGAAGAGATTTTTGACATTTTGCGAAGAGCTGTCATGTCATTGCTGTTTTATATGTGCTTTCAGGATCGATTCAGTTAAATTAGCTTCTGCCAAACCAGTACTGGTCGTCTGATTGTGGAACAAATCAAGTCTCTTCACTCATGTTTCAGCCTCGACAAAATGACACAGTATCCGTTTCACTGGGTTGGCTGTCCTTGTCGTTTATTTCCCTTCTTGAGCATGCTCCACCCATTTAACGGGCGCACAGATCTCGCACTACTGTATTTCTCACGTGTTCCAACCATTGTCATTGCCGCTCTCGACTCTTTCCAACTCTCTTTTTTTCCATTTTTTCTGCCTGTCCCAGCTGGTGGATGTAAAGTCTTTCTTTCCCCTGTTTTTTTTTTCCCCCTCCAGCCTAAAAGATGGATAAGAACGACCTGGTGCAGAAAGCCAAGCTGGCAGAGCAGGCCGAGCGCTACGACGACATGGCGGCTGCCATGAAGGCCGTGACGGAGCAGGGCCTGGAGCTCAGCAACGAGGAGCGCAACCTGCTCTCCGTCGCCTACAAGAACGTTGTAAGGCATCTTTTTAAAGTCCAAACCCCCACCCACCTCATTCACCACCACAAATCTGTCAGGGTGTAACTACAGTCAGCTAATGAAAAACTGTCAAAGATTTTTGGGGGTAAAACAAAGCACAAATAATTGCATTGTCATATAGACTTAGAATTACATATACCTCAGTTCACCACAAACCTCAATTATTTTCAGTTGGATGTCACAAAGCAAAACAATATGTACAGGCAGTAAGAACTCAAACTGAATTCATGACGAATACAAGTAGATTCCCTCAGAAGCTCAGATTGAGTCCAAGACAACTCTACACCCGGAATGCCGTAAAGATTTGCTATTACTGTGAGTTTGTTGAGACAACAGCTCCAGATGAAATGAAGAGACTTAAATAGGAATTAAAAGCCTCTCACAGACCCATTTTGGGTCGATACCAATTTTCTGTGCCTGTAAAATAAATGTCTGTGAAAGCTGTCAAAGTTGAAAAGATGAAAACATAACTCTTTGGTACTTATCTCCCAATTTGCACTGCACACTGAATTTATATTGCGATTCAACTGTGTGTGTGTGTGTGTGTGCTGCAGTGTTTCATTGCCAAAACATTGTGCCCCTATATCCTGTCACACCCACAAATAAACACCTGTGGTGCATTTCGAGATGACGATTGAACACCTGTTTGTGCTTGAAAAACCTCCCTCTGAGGTTTCAGCCTCTGTTTTCTCTGAGGACTTCTAGAAATGTCTTTGGAACTGTAACTGTGGGGGCCTGAGGAAATGGGACTTAATGTCCAGGCTGCCACACTGGACTCCATTTTATAGCTTATCTTATCTTGGCTCAACATTCATTAAAGTTTAATTTTGAAAGGAAGAGTTATTCTCCTAAGTATTAGTGCAATCACAGCAGACTGCTCCCCTGCTGTTGTATATTTATAGTATTTATTGTGACAGTAAAGCTGTTAGCTCCTCTGATAGTGAGGACGCCTTTGCTTAATGTTCTTAATTTTTCGTGTTTTTTATCCATGAAGATTTCATAGTTTAACTTTGAGGCACAAATTATGCAAGATCAGCCTCATGTTTTCCAGAACTGCGGCTCTATCTGTCGTCAAGGTTTCCCTTTTCTTCAAAGTAGCAGCCTGTACTTTTGGTGTTGCATGTTTTAATACTAACCGTAACCAAACAAGGAGAGCAGTGAGTCACTCACTTGTTTTTAGATGGGACATAAGAACTTGCATTTGAGCTGCACTTGTTATAATCTGGAGGCAGATCTTCATGCACAGTCACATGTTCTAATGCCATGGGCAAAATAGATTGGGATTTTATTTCATAGAGGCAGTAAGAATTTAGTTGAGTTCATCTTGTTTAAAACACAAGAGACGTCTGCTTGAAGTCCCTGCTGTCGTATCAGCACCATCTATTACACAAACAACAGCTCGGGTCTTGTTTCAAGGGTGTTCTCTTCGCATCCTTTCGAAGATGGAGAGAACGTCAGGAACCTTCTGTTTCGGAAACATCCTGAACGTCATTCTGGCGAGCGTACATGCTCCAGATGTGTTGGCCAAGAAATCAGATCTGTATGAACCGCTGACCAATGCAAAGGAAGGGTCAAATATTTCAAACATGCAGCACAGCTCAAAGAAATTCCTCAAGCAATCCATCGGGACTCAATGGAATACAAATTATGAAACACGCTGCATTCCGCACCGCCACATCACGATAGGATCTCCTCAGTACGAGGTGACTGATAACCAGTATGAAAAAATAACACAGATCAATGCAAACACTCTGACAACAATGATTGTTCTTTAAGACAGTCGAAGATGCTACTGATGAACTCAAGTCTGACCCTCACGCTGCATCACTTTCAACGCTCTGGTTCATAAAAGGTTCATCAAACACTACCGTGCACCGCCATCTGAATGTGGCTGGACTATAAATACCATTATAACAAAAGTCCTATATGACCTGATCCTTTGACCACACTAGAAAGAGTCAAACTTCTGTTTTTGGGACATGCTCTACCAGGTGAGCTAAAAGGAAACCTGTATGGCCCACTTTCCAAAAAGCAGATTGCAAAGTGCGTCACAGACAGAAAAAAGGAAACGTTCAGAGAACAATTTTACTGAAGTCCAGAAATTGATGATTAATAAAATGCTTAAAAATAAAATAATTAATAATAGACTTGTGAAGCCTCATTATTAAAAATGTGGTTTAAAAAAACGAGCCAATCCGAAGTTGCCAATTAAATCATCCATAAGATGTGTTTTGACCTGACCCCATCTGCTGCAGAGAATCAGACTGAAGACTGAGCACTAAGATGTAACACCAGAATAACGCCACACCCAGACTGTGTGCGTCAATGACGGAGATACAACAGTCAGTGCAAAGAGCCGTTCACCTGTTTATTCAAAGTTCAGTGAAGCTCCAGTACGCAGAACTCCTTGTCATCGCTGCTACAGAGAGATGTTGACTCTAGTTCGACTCTTCTCTTCCTTGGACCTTTAACAATACACATGACAAATGGGGAGAAAAGATAAACGGTTCTTGAGATATGCAAACCACAGACAAACAGACCTGGAATTATTACATTATGCAAGTTGATTTATATAATTCATTTTCAAGGACGTACCTTGAGGCAGCTTCTGTTCATTTGATTTTGTGATATTATATAAGATGAGATTTTTTATCACCCGATTAAAAGACAAGAGAAAATCAATGGAACCCTATTTGAATGGGTGTGACAGGTAAAAATGATCCAGGTGTCAAGGTGGGGGTAGGAGTAAACACAGTCTTGTGCAGGACTAGTAAAATAACTTTGACCCAAATGAACACAGAATATTAATTTATTCATAATTACTTCATATTCAGTCTTGTTTCTGTTCTGTTTATCCTTTAATGAACAGAAGATGTTGTCTGTTAGTCTTGGGTTGATGGTTTTTTGGTTGTTTTTTTCAGGTGGGGGCCCGTCGTTCATCCTGGCGCGTCATCTCCAGCATCGAGCAGAAGACGGAGGGGAACGAGAAGAAACAGGTCATGGCCCGTGATTACCGCGAGAAGATCGAGTCTGAACTCCAAGAAATCTGCCACGACGTGCTGGTATGGAGTGGGATGGTAGCGTCGGGCAAAGGGGCTGCGAGAGATTGGGAGGGAGACAAGGGAGGATTGAGACAGAAGGTCTAAAGAGGGAGCAGTGGAGGAGGAGAGACAGTGGAAGAGCTGATCCCTCTCAGCTGAGGGAAGAATAGCAGTCACATGATGGTACTCGTGGAGACAGTGATAATGTTGCTGGCAGCAGCACTGGCAGCTGTTGAGTCGTCAAACATAGCTTTAATTTTCTTCTCAGTCTTTTCGCCTTGCTCACACATTTGGCATCTTGGCTTCATGTTTTTTTATTTACTCTGTGCAGAAGCAAACGAGGCTGCACTGCATCAAGTCATGAGAAATCATCCACAGTTTGTGTGTGCAAGGAGGAGTCGCTGGGTCGTGTGTACTTAGATACAAAACCCCAAAAATTAGGAATCAGAACATGAAAACATTTTATGTTCTGTTACGACTGTTTTTCAAGTGGCCGCAGGCAGCGGAGGCCTGAGCAGGTGTTCAGACTGAAAATAGCTTTGCATTAAAAAAAAAAAAGGAAAAAAAGAGAGAGAGTAAGACACTGCATTGGTGTGGGCATGTTGCAGCAGATACGATTAAACGATGACTAAATCCCCCTTACCTTTATTTTGAGGTAAGAAAAAGGTAAGGGATTTATTAATGTTTAGTACTAATGTTGCTGATATGCTTTTAAGCTGCAGCCTGAGCGTCTGGGGGAAAACCGTTAAAGAAAAGCTGCGCTACACAAAGATGTTGGTGCTGTTTAGTCTCAGCGACCTCAAGTGTAACTTCTGCTGTGCATCTTTAAGAAAAACAGGTTTTTTCGGGGTCAGTCTCTCAAGCTAAGTGCATCAGTAGAAGCAGAGCTCTGTAATCTTGCTTGACTGTAAAATAACCTGAAGCTAGACTCAGTTTGTTCTTATCTGCAGTTTTTGAACAGATTAGACCTTGAGTATGATTTAGGCCTCATGAACAGCTCTTTACTTTCTCAGGTCCTGGCTAGGTTAGAACAGGAACTGCTCAAGGTCAAAGCAGACTCAAATTTTTAGCGCCTGAGCTAACTTCTAATAATATCTTCAAGGTCAAACTGGAAGCCTCTGCAGTGATGTAGTGCGGTAGGACAGAAGTGAGGGAAGGATGGGTGGAGATGTGCTGTGCTTAAAGCAGCAGGAGGCTTGGAAGGAGCAGACTGAAAAGCATCACAGGACAGAAAATATATTAGTGACCTTGAACAAAAAGAAATGACAGAGGTATTGGTTTCCCTCAAACCACTGGTGCTCATGGAAGGAAATACATGCAAAGAAATAATTTGATTAGATGGTGTATTAGACAGTGTATTTTATTTGTTCCACATTGAAACAGGGAAGAAAAAGTTAGATTTGCTTTTAAAATAAAAAATGGGAAACATGAATAAACCAGGATTATTTTACAGTAGTTGTCACATTTAAAAAATGGACTGGTCGGTTGGCAGGTAAGTTAAGCACACAGCTCGGTTACTGGGCGTGTGAGCAGCTGCATTCTTCAGGCTGCCTACTTTGTCATGCCGAGTTGGCACTGTAACAGTTGAAGGAATGAGGACAGGTAAGTACAGAAGCATGTTTGTGAGTCAGTTTGATGAGATGGGTAGATGAGAACCGTTCCACCTGGGTGTGGGAACATCCTAGTTGGTTTCAAGTTAAAGTTGAGTAGGCTGGGATGTTTTATAGACAAAAATTTAATAACAGGAAGATTTATGTTGAGATGTATGTTGAGTATTTGGGGTTTAACGCTGGAGATGGCAAAGAAATGAAATATGTTGTACCCTGCAACGGTCCTACTCTTCAACAACAAATTTGTGCGGAGGAGGAGGCACCACAGACGATTAGAATAGCAACTGGGGGGGATATTTGAATATATTAAAACAAATCAAACGAATTTTACATAGCATGCAATTCTTTCGACCTAATTTTTGGTAGAAATGACATCCCTCTAGTGGTCAAATGCTGTTACCCAAACTGGGATGTTTGACAAATCGGAAAAAGGCCAAAATGTTACAGCCCCACACATCAAATACATTAATGAGTTTAATGAAGTAATGACTCGGCCGTTAACTTAATCACGGTGATGTCAGTCTGGTTTACATTAAGACGTCTCCATGACATACCCAGGCCGAGTCTGACTGAAGTCAGCAGATTAACACAGACCTCTCAGTGGTTGAAAGATCTGAATGTAACCACTGGAACAAAGCTGGTCTCAGTGAGGAGATGCTCTGGGGTAAAGTCGGCCTGATCACATGATCTGGGTAAAAGCTTCCCTCAAATGATCAGATGAGTAGAACATCAGCAGACCGAACAAGAACACACGCTGTGAGAAGGTGACACCCCGTCAGCAAACTGCACTCAGTTTCTTCTGCTATGAACAAATATAGAAGGACACATTTATCAGGTGACTCAGTACATGAGGGTATATAACTATTAATACTCTTTTCTTTCATATCCACGTACAGCTAACTTTGTTTTACCACCAGCACATTGATACACTTTATACTATGGCATCTGTCAGAAGTGGGGGGGAAAAAAACCTTTCATAATACTTTTTACTGGTGGAATCAAAAGAACATTTATGTGTTTTAGAATCTCATGTTTCCAGGAATAAGTCAAATAAGGGATTGTCAGTATCTCATTTTTTATACTGTTAATTATTTCCAAAATGTACAAAATAACCAGCTGCTTAAAAATCACACATTAGGACATTGGAAACTGTGATTTGATGCCACACAGATGTGGATCTTCTTAAACCCTACAATGGAAAGTAAGAAATAATAAATAATGCTAATCTAGGTGATATTTGCTACAGACAATTTTTTGAAATGATATATATATTTTAAATATTAACCCAATAAGATGCAAGGTACTTTCAAAATGTATCCCTAAGGGGCGTGGTAAATAAGTTAAAATGAATTCATAAAGAGGTTTGAATAGTTTTGTGCCAGCTCCTTCTTTAGATAGGTTGATAAACTCAACATCATCCCGGAATGATCTTGTCCTTCTGCTTCTCACTTGGCAAAAGAAGAATTTGGGATTTGTCCCATTTTACAAAGTAGAGGACAAGTCTCACCGCTGAACACAGGAGCTGGAGCTCCATCGTGGCTGGTTCCAGTCATGTGGTAGGATTTCTCAGTTCAGTCTGTCTGAGGTAAGTTGTGCACGTTTAAATTGCTCGAGGGTGTTTTTCATAGGGAGGCCAAAATGTTCCTTCTAACTAGCTAGGTATCTGAAATACTCACATTGGCTTATTCAGACTGTGAACGCTCTGCTCTGCTTGAGTCTAAAGCAGAAATCAGTAAAAACATACTGTGTTCAAATAAATTAAATAATATTGCTTATATAAGTTTACCCTTAAATCATAACCTGTATTTCTAGAGACATTGAGATTAGGTATCTTGTTTTAATACTGACTGCAGTTTAAATTATATTGATCTAAGTAGATTTTGTGAGGAAACGAACGACCCTTTTCCAAACTCCCCCAGACTCCTCATCCCTGAGGACTTTACAACCATTGGCTGCAGATTCTATCTCGGTGAGTCAACCGTTGCCACGTTGGTGACACTTGCACTCATCTGGGCACGACAGAGGGGAAACTCACATGTCAGGTAAAATGGAGGAGCTGTGGAATTCACCAGCTTGTGTTATACACTCAGATGAAGACGTGTATTTAAAGCACCAGCTCTTTCTAGTACCTTCTCAATGGTCCAACTCGATATGATTGGTGCACCCTTCCGGTATCTGGCTGTTGACGTGGGAGATTTCAGCAGCCGTCATGCTGGACGAGGGCCTCTTAACAAACCTCTCGGACATGAGGTCAAAGTTGGAACCAGTGCCATTTGTGGTTGTGACAGACGAGGCTTTCCTGATGAAAACCGTTCACCGTCCTGGGAATTGCCTGCCGAGGATCGCTGGGAATACAACGGTTGAGACGTCATTAACCAGCACTGGAGCGTTCATCTCCTCCAGCTCCCAGTCTCCCTCCGGACGCAGTTGATGGCATCCTTACAAGCTATCTCTGTGTTGCAGTGGATACGACTTGATGATGTTGAGGATGAAGATGCTGATGATGTGGACAGCAGTACACTAGATGCCCTCAGGAGGGAACAGAGCATCAGCTGAAGCACTGTGGGATACGTTCCACCAGCAACATACTCATCGAGGCTAAATCGCAGGGCATAAAACCATCTGTGTGATTTATAATAACTTCCATGTTTAATTATTCAAATGTGAATTCAATTTGTGGTGCTTCAAATAAACGTGATAAATGTACATGTATCTGTATCGTCTTTTTAATTATCTTTCATAAAATACGAAGCTTCGTGCTCAAACATAACAGGCATCAATGCCTTACATTGAATTTGAGGAGGTACACAACAACAAGCAACGACAGCTTCACCTCAGTTTGTCAAATATGTATCTACTCTAGATTCTCAGTTGTCTTTCCACTCCTAAAAAGTCCGAATCATGAGAAACAAATTGATGTAATTTCTCTCCTCACGCTCACTGGCACGCTGCTGCTTCATTGCCTCTTACTGCTGTAAAAAAAAAAAAAAAAAAGTCCCTGCTATTCCATTTGTTTGCCTTTAGCAGTCGACTGAGGAGCTGCAGTCACAATCATCTGTCCTCTGCTCCCACTGCTCTCTCCCTGCCTCCTCCTGTTCCTCGTCCTGCCCTGGGCAGTCTTGCTTTCTGGAAACCCTTTCCAAAAATATCTTTTAAGGCAAGCTATAAAACTATATTAAATAAATTATGAAATCAAATTAGTGTCATTTATGAACTGGGCATCCACTCCATTGTCCCTTGAGTCTCGACCACAGCTTTATGAACTTGGAAAAACTAAGTCTACTGCGACTTCCTGAAATCTGACTTAAGGAAAGACACAGCATATTTGTTGTGGGGGGGGGTGATGATGCTTCTGACTGTCTGTACATTTGTAAGGAAATCATGTGATCTCCACAGCAGAGTCCTTCAATGTTCTCAATACACAATTCTTACAAACCCTTCTTGTCTTCTGTCTGCTTCAGAATCTGCTCGACAAATTCCTCATAGCCAACGCATCTCAGGCAGAGAGCAAGGTGTTCTACCTCAAAATGAAAGGAGACTACTTCAGATACCTGTCGGAGGTGGCCTCTGGGGACTCAAAGAAGGGTGAGTGATCACCCAAAAATGTTCTCATTGTCCTGTCACTCTTAGTTTGTCAGGGTAAGAAGCAGGGTATTATCAAATCAGGAGCGAGGATATAAAGTCACAGTATTTACCATCATTTAGGAGACTGGGTTGATGTTGAGCCCTGGAGCTGAATGAGACTCATGTTAACGACCAGCTGAACACAGTGATGTTGACTCAGGAGCCCGACCTCGGTTGAATGAAAGATTCCTGTGGCCACCAGAACATTATTATTGCCTCCCTCTGCTGGTGTTAACTGTGTTGTTCAGAATATCCTCTTTCTAGTTTTCTTACAAAACAACTTCTTCATTACATTACTTCCTGTAAAGAATTGAACTGCTTGAGCTGCTGACATCACAACCTGCACCAACCGTCACCAGTTGAGGAGCTGTGGAGTCATTTTTGGGCCACATTCTAGAATTGAATGTTTTTAAAGTTTAGTGCAGTTTATCCGTATATTCTCTTTATTCAAGTTCAGTTGCCATTGGAAATCATTTCCGTTTTTAAAATGTATACACATGTATATTGGTATTATTAGTTATATTGGAAATGATTTACTCATTATCTGTATCTGCAAATGTTAACATGTTAAACATCTGCTAGTTAACGTGTAAACGTTTAGCTTCCACCTACCATGAAGTTGTCGGTTTGTGTCCTCAACCATATTCGGTACAGATTTGTGAAGTTTGGTGAAACGTGTATCATTGAGGCTGATGTGATCAAAGTGTGCAGCAGAATAAGTGACCGCTGGTTATGTGCGTTGTGCAGATACGGTAGAGAACTCTCAGCAGGCCTACCAGAACGCCTTCGACATCAGCAAGAAGGACATGCAGCCGACGCACCCCATCCGGCTCGGCCTGGCCCTCAACTTCTCCGTCTTCTTCTATGAAATCCTCAACTCTCCTGACCAGGCCTGCAGTCTGGCCAAGCAGGTGGGTGCATGACACTGTGTTTATATGTGAAACAGTCCTAAAGAAGGTCCCCAGTGGCTTCTGCCCAGAGTCAGGACGTCACGACAACAGGGCGACTGTTGCACCACCGGACAAAACCTCTTGAACAATGTGTAAGGATCTAAAGGCCTCCGGTTAAATGACCCTGTCTGAGACTTCATCTGGAACTCCGGTCTGACTGGATTGAGAGAAAGGTCGACTTAAAAACGAGCTCCAACGATACCCTCATGTTTTCAACAGTGGAATGAAAACACACAACGATAATTCTTTGGTGGCTTTGATGCGTGAGAAACCTCGTGTGGCAGACGTGTAACCTGTGGGGTGAACAGGCATTTAAGCATTATTTCAGTTTTAAACCCTTAAACAAAGCATCTGCACAGTGAACGGCCTTGTGCAAAGACTTCAGTGTAAATACGTTTTCAGAAAGACTGACATCAGTGAAACTCTCTCCCCCTGCAGGCTTTCGACGAGGCGATCGCCGAGCTCGACACCTTGAACGAGGACTCGTACAAAGACAGCACGCTGATCATGCAGCTACTAAGGGACAACCTCACTGTGAGTACTCACACTCTGACACGCGGCTTCAGAAACACTAATGAAATTCTGTCTTTTATCCGAATATGAATTTAAATGCAGATTTGTTGTACGACTTGACTTGTAAGAGTTGATTGTAAATTATTGATTTACAGATATAACCCATCATACACACATTCATATGTAGTTATCAGTGTAGTGACTCCTGCCTGACCTCAATGTTCGCTTCCACAAGGGTCTGATGACGACATCTAACGACATGAATTGACGTCAGTGTCAAAACATTTTCACTTCCTGGTGTCGGCATCGGCCCCAAACATGTTGTTCAGGCTGTGGTATAAAGATAACGTATCAAAATACATGGACCTGGTTCGTTTAATGCAGGAAATACTCATCTTCTTTTTCTTTTGTTCACTGGTCGTGTTGACGGAGCTGAAGCAGCCTAAGGTTCTACATCCTTAGTCATTACTGATACTACTACTACTACTTCTACTACTACTGTATTTATACAACTACTTTCACAGCTTTTCTGTTCCACTGAGTTCGCGTAAGGAGAATTTCTATCACACCCACACAGATCGTCCTGTACGTTTTCTTTTGTTTTGAAAAGCTGCTGCAGCTCGGCTGAGTCAAATGATCAAAAGAAAAGAGTTTGTGATTAACTTGTTCTTTCGTATGAACACGTAAAGCGTCTTCTTCATTTGGTTGAAACTCAAAGTAGATGAAACGTAACAGATGTAATGAGTCGTCACGTCTCTGCGACAGAATGACTGATGCGCTCTCTCTCTCTCTCTCTCTCTCTCTCTCTCTCTCCTCCTCTGCAGCTGTGGACATCGGAAAACCAGGGAGATGAGGGCGAAACCGGCGATGGAGAGAACTAGAGCGCACTTCACTGTTAACCCATCCCCACTCTCTTCCTCTTCCTTTTATCTCTCCTCCTCTTTCTTCTCTTCTTCCTCTCTTCGTACACATAAACAGCCCATTCATTCCCTCGTCCCACTCGTTCAAGCCTAGCCTCCCGACTTCCCTTCTGTATAACCAACAGCATGAATAGTACCTGACCTTCACCAATCAATTTAAAGAAAAAACAAAGGAGGGGGGTAAAAAAACAAAAGACGACAGAACCTTCCCCGTCACCCCGAGATCCTTCATCCCTCCTCCCTCCGGCCTTTCCTCCCCTCACCATGGCACTCCAAGGCCGGCCAGCGGGTGACGGCCTCGTCTTATAGCACGCAGGGAGGGTTTTTATCCACAACCACAAATTCAATTCATGTTTTTAAAATCCACAAAGCCCCGTTTTTATCCTCCTCGTTTTTATTTCCTTCCTCCTCCATTCCTTCCATTCTTCCTCGCTCCTCTTCCCTCCTTCCTAACATCTCGGTATGTTCTCTCCCCCTTCCCTTCCTCCCCTCCTCCCCTCTCTAGCGAGTTAATGCATTTATATAGTTGTCCATCCCTTTTTCTTTTTGGCTATTCTTAGTGTACTGGCTTAATGGCTGGTTTTATTCCACATTACAAAAAAACGAAAAAAGGTTATTAAACTGTCCGTTTATTTTCAACAAACACTGTGATGCTTAGTTTTTCCTCCACCAGATTTAATGGTCGAATTGATATTGAGCTGGGATTGATCGGGGGTGTGTTTGATCAGCAGTGCCGTTCTGCTGAGGTTTATACAGAAGGGTCCTCCTCCTATACAAGGCTGTATTGTGACACTGACAAACCTAAAAACAAACGTGTTTTACCTGCTGTGTAACTCAACACTCGCCGCTTTTTCCACTTTTAATTTCCTCTCTAACCGGGACCGGGGTTTTATTCCAAGCCACTCTGCGTATTTACAGTTTGGAGCTTTAAAACAAACAAACAAACAAACAAACAAACTAAACGATTCGGATAATTATTAAATAGAATTGAAAACATTCCATTTTAATGTTCGAGAAGATTTTAAACGTCTTTCACAACAAACGGGACCTGCCTGCCTCCTGGGATCCGCCTCCTGTCCAGGTGCTGTTGAACATCTGTATTGTCCCTGAAGTGAATTCCTGTTTATTTCCCTCTGCGGTTGCTTTTTTTTTTTTTTTTTTTTTTTTTTTTTTTTTATGTGTGTGTGCGTTTGTGTGTCTTTGACAAATCAAACCCTTTGTTCTGTTATTTTGAAAACTGTAAAATTGTAAAACATTTTTAGAGCTTAACTGTAAATCTGTCTTTTAGAGAAACTCAACGGTTTTGTCGATATTGTTCGTTGACACCTGCTTGTAAAGAAACCTTGAAGCCGTTACAGTCAGATACTGTTGTTATTATTCTTTGGCATTTATGAGCAGATCCTTTTTCTTTTTCTTTTTTTTTGGGGGGTACTCTCATGTCCCTCTGATTTCCCGTCAGTTCTACGAATCCAGAAAATGTCCCCTCGCTGTTGAGCGGTGTGATCTCCCAATAGGAATGCATGCCTCCCGTGTATCACCATATAAATCTACCACGAGCATCGAGTGGGGGAGTTGTTCGCTCTGTGGATTCACACTCAAACTCGCTGCTGCCACGGTTTCAAAAAAAAAGAGTTGATGAGTTCATTCTTGACGTTTGAATCAGGCCAAATCTCAATCGAAGGATATTTTCCTCTAAAATAAAAAATCGAGGAGGCAGCGAGTGTCAGTGTCGCCTTCGGCAACAGGTACGTGCGTTGAAGTAGCCGAATCTGCTGGCAGCCGATCAGCCAATCATCTGTTTGTGGAAGAGAGAACCTGTAGTGGGATCATGGTTTTTGTTTTCAGGCCGGAGTTCGTTTAAAAAAAAAAAAAAAACCCACGTGTGTAGGTTTGAAGGCGACCCTCGGATTCTCTCGTAGGAAAAGAGGAAACGCTCAGCAGCAACTATACAACGGTGTCATCTGCAGACAGGAATCACACACACGTGGTTCATGACTCGTTCTGAGGAGACAAATCCCAAACGAGACGCCGAGGAGCGTCGGCGGGTGTCAGTCGATCGGAATCAAAAGTCGAAACAGTCGAATAATCAGTGTCACAATAACCTTGTCATTAACCATCTCGACATTCCACTCTAGGTGTAGAAGAGTCACGTCTCAATGTTTTGTTTTTTTTTTCTTTCGCTGGGGACAAATGTTTTCATGCACTGAAATTTAAAAGTTAAAAAAAAAAAAAAACGATAATTCCTCCCTGCCGCTCTTTTTCTCGATAGCTGAACAGAAAGGCAGTTATTCTTCGCTTTATAAGGAAAAAAAATGATCCCATGCAGTAGTGAATGTGGCACCGAGCCTGTCTGTATATCTGGTATCTCAAATCTTTTTGTTTTTACTGACCAGTATTCTGCTTAAAAAAAAAAAAAAAAATACCCCCCCCCAAAAAAAAACCAACAAAAAAAAAAAGTTTGCTTCTGTGACGGTTTTATTGCTTAGCGCGCACGTGGTTGTGAAAATTTAGACTTTAGCTTAAGGACGCCGATTTAAAAATAAGAAAACGACAAAAAAGAAAAACCCCTCGACACCTTCCCTCCTCCCGCCCTGGTTATTGACGTAATACTAGATTTGTGTATGTCTTTTAAAAAAAATTCCAACTCTAGTTTCACCTTACATGTTATAAACAGGACAAAATGTAAAAGACAATTTAAAGTGAAATAAAGGTTTTATCAGTTCTGAATCAGCCCTGTTCTGTTTATTATCACCGGTAGAATTCTGATGACGCATGTTTTCTCTTTGACTCTTGAGTTTGCTGAAGATTGGTGGTGATGCAGAATATCTGAGTTTACCTGGGAAGTTGAAAGACTCAAAGCTCTGGAATAACAAAACACTGTTCAGGTGTTGGGAGATCTTTTATTTTGAAGCTTTGGGGCATTTTGGTTTCATGCAAATAGTCAGTGCAGAAACGAAAGATCACGAATTTCCAATCAGTTTTTATGCAAATGCAACTAGATGCAAATTTGCCTTCTCGTTTGGTTTTCACAGACGAGGAGAACCTGAATCCTTCACGGAGACAAACGCAGCTGCTCCGTGTTCAGGTTTAATCACAAGTGGGATCAGATGAGCTGGAGATTCATTCATTCAAACCGGCCTTGAAAACTTTTATCTGAACACATGAACATCTTATTTGCTTTACGTTTTTTCCCACGACTTTGTAATCAAGTCCTTTTCAGGGTTTCCCACAATTGAATAATCAAAGTTTTTTTTAAGAGTTTCAGTGTGTTGGCTTCATGCATCGTGTGTAATCTGTGTTGTAGTTCTGCCTCAGTGATATTTACGAGCTGTAATAAAACTACAAATCAGACCAACGTGGAACCGATGACTGATCGTCTGCAAACTCTTCGGTCAGAGTTCATCTCAGTTCACTCGACTTGTCTTTGGGACAGGGTTCGTTTTTTAGATCCCACCAGATTATTTCAGTTTATCTGCAGTTATGGGGAAGTGTCAGTCGTTCTGGGACTGAAATAAAATAATATGAGATGTGAGTATCAGACATGTGACTTGTTGAAACCTGCACAAACATCATTGTTTTCATGGATTTTGAGAAGTGCAACAGCTTTAATACTATAATCATATTATTTTAACTGCAGTGGATAGAGATGTGCTTTCATTTGTATTTTCATCTCGTGATTCTCGGTTTTCTCACACGAGTGTTAGAAATGAAAGTCGTTCTCCAGTGAAACGACTGCGATGACTGGACTGAGTCTGGTCCTCGGCTCAGACAGACCTGGATCACTGAGTGTATCCAGGCCATCGATTGGTTCGAGATTGTTTTCCTTCATTTGCGGAACCGATCCCATTTCCTCGCCCCGTGAAACGTGATTGGTTCTGGGCGACTCAGTGATTCCTCCGCTGGTTGTTCTGCAGTGAACAGGAGCCTGAGGCCTCGTGACCCCGTGAGGACTCAGACACTGAGTCAGAGAAAGTGAGTTTGATGTCTGGTTAGAAAAACTCCACGTCACACTTTACTTAGTTCTTACATCTGTACTTTATCTTCAGGTACTTTCACTACATATATCATCAGTACTTCCTGCGTCACTGCATTTTTTACATGATCAAATTGTTTTTTTAAATATTCTTTTTAAAGTTTTCAATAACGAGACAGGAAGATAAGACACTTAACAGTCTGTGTCCGTCACATGTTAAAGTGAATCTTCAGTAAAGACAGTTAATGAAGTAGATCACTGCAGTAAAGAAGAGGATACTCTCTGTAAGTACTTAAGTATATTTAACTCAAGTATAAAAGTATAATTACTGCTTTTGGCTTTTACTATATGTTTCATAGAAAATGTAAATCTGTGTGAGTGTTAGTATTTGTGTGTTTACTCTCAGAAACACAAACGTATCAGTGGTGAACTTTCACTTCACAGGAGTTCAACTCTGGTGAACTTTGACCTGCTGTGTGTGTGTGACGTGACCACGCCCTCACTTATGTATTCAGCATCAGAGCATTAATGTGTTGATGCTGTGACGTCATCACAACGTTAAAGTGAAAGTGAGGTCACACGTCCTGGAAACGAAGTTCCACGATAACCTGTGCAGTTGTTTTTGTGTAATCCTGCAGCTCAGCGACTAAAATGATGATTAACATGTTATATTATCTATAAAATAATATTTATCTGTGTGTAAGACACGAAAAGCTGGAGGTAAAATAAGGTGAGATTAGAAACTGGGCTAGCTGTTTCCCTTTGTTTCCAGTCTTTGTGCTAAGCTAAGCAGCTGTAGCGTCGTTGATGTGTCTGTGCACAGGGGAGGGGCTCCGTTCACTTGGTGGATGCTTCAAAAATCATCTGATTTGATTTCTTAAATTTCTGCTTCATGTGTAAAGACTTGAGGAGACGCAGCAAATGCAGATCTATTCACTTTAATTGCAGTTAAACCGAAGCAGGTTGACAGAAGCGATATGAACAAGTTACAAGAAATGTGACAAAACCAAGAATCTCTTACGTAAAGACTTTCACACACACGTGCAGCGTCTCGACTTTCAAACATGAACCAACGCTGATATGTTCCTCCTCCTCCTCCTCCTCCTCCTCGTAAACGTCAGGACGTTTGATGTTTCTCTGACAAACTCATGTGTTGTACTTTAACAAGATGCGCGGAAACTAAATCCAGAGCACTCCACACGTATTTCACAATAAAACAAAGAAAAAAAAGAAAAAATGACAAGAGCAAACAGTGGATGAAGACCCGTTTGAAAAGTGTCACTAAGTTTGCAGGTTTGAGTCGTTCAAACAGAACCAGAGGAAACTTTAATTCTAAAGAAATAAACAAATGAAACGGAGGATTGAGACTCATGGTTCAGACGTGTGAGAGGAGGTACCAACACTTCCTGTGGAACGGGCGGCGTGAGGGGACGGGCTGGGGACGCTTTGAAATCAATGTGCAAACTGAGCAAATGACTGAACACCGATGCTGCGTCGGTCTTTCTTTTTTTTTTTTTTAGAATTAACAGTTTCAGAAGATCCAACTGCGATCGCAACTTGGAGAAAATCTCAAAATGACCGAGACGATGCTTTATTTATCTGCCGTCTCCACCTCATGACAGCGTGACCATGAAATCAAAACCTCAGAAAAACAAACGTAGCATAAATAAGTAAATTAAGAAAAAAAGAAGGCTTGTGAATGAAATATTGAATAAACCTTTGTTTGCGTCAGCAGTTTCAGCCTCTCACCGACGAATCAGTGTCTGCGTTTGTTTGTCGATGTGAATTTTTACAGAATAAATAGAGAAAAAAATCTGAACACAACTTCTGGATATTGGATTTTCTTTTTCTTTTAAGTCTAAATATCTCTCCGGGTCCGCTCTGCTCTGGATCGAACTCGTGGGGGAACGTTCATGTAAATATATTTACGCAGGTTTTTTGAAAATCTGTTTGTCTCAAATTTTTAAAGTTAAAAAAACCTCAAACTGTTCTTCGGTGTCAGCTTCTAAACCGAAAAAGACTTTGATCCACTTTCAATACGTTTTTGTTTTGGACTGATTGTCGAACGAAATGACTGAATTCTGACGAGACACGAATGAACTCAAACCCAGAACTGACGTTGGAAACTGTGACGTGTTTTGTTGTTCTGCAGGAAATACTCCTTTTATCTTGTGGGTCAATAATTTTTGCTTTTAAATTCAAACTGGTAAAAGTACAAACGTTCCTGAGGCTGAACGCGGCGACGTCTCTTCCTCCTCTTCTTCCAGAAGCGTCTCAAGTCCGAACTTATGTTTGAGAGTGAACACGAGTTCAGGGTGAAGGAGCTTTTGGGAAACGCACGTTCTGCCGTTTGAATGGCGCCGCGGATCGGCCGCCCGACTCTTATATAAACATCATTAACTCGTCGTCCTCTCTGCTCTTCTCTCGGTGCAGGATCCTCACCGCTGCCTCCGCAGTCCCTGATGCAGCCTCACTTCTTCTTCTGCACTTCCTGCAGCAGCTTCAGTGCAGCTGTGTTCTTTGGATCCACTTTGAGCAGGTTGTTCAGGTCGTCCACACACGTTTTAGGGTTCTGCAGGAAAACACAAGAGTTTAGAAGTAAAACTAAACCAGGCTGTTCTCATCAGTTTACAAATCTGATTATGCACACACACACATTTATACAACTCTCAACACACACAAATACTACCGCAACAATATTTGCTGCGTATTGTCGTTAAGGTGGTTTTCATCAAAGTTAACGCTGTAACTCTGCTTCAGTTCCCGTCACTCAGCTCGTCAGCCGCTGTCCGAGCCTCTTCTTTATAAACCATCCAAAATAAACAAAATACATTTCCCATGATACATCTCACCTCCCAGATATGGGCTGAACTCGTCGTCCTCTGAAAGGCAGAAGCTCACAGATGTTGTCCCCGGTTTTACAGAAAAGATTCAGGCTCATGTTCCGTCTGCTCTTTTAAAACCAGATTAACTGTTTAATGCAGCAAATATCAACGCACCCGGTCTGTCGACTTCATGAAGACTCTTTAGTCGAACCAAACACAGTCGACGGCTGCACTGTGCCGAGCTAACCGACTGTGAACGCTCTCTGTGAGGGAAACTGATGAGGGGAAGCTGTCAGGGGAATCATGGGTAATTATCGAGGCGGGAAATTATTTTATTTTGCTGTCCGCCCTCGGCACCTACGCACAGAAGCTCCTGACAGACTGATTGCGTCTGTGTGAGAAGCAGAAAGTGAAGAAGACTGCAGCGCTCACCTGGAGTTCCTTGTGAGCCTGAGCTCTCCTGTAGAGAGCCTTAATGTTGCTGCTGTCAATCATCAGAGCGTCGTCACAGTCTCTGACGGCGTCTCTGTACTGCTTCACTGACAGGTAACACAGCGCCCTGCACACGCACACACACACACACAACAGACACACACACAGACGCACACAAACAAACAGAAAATACAGAATCCAAACATCAGAGACCTTGATCACCTACTAAAGAAATTCCAGCCATTATTACCTAAATATATATATAATACTACTTCTACTACTAATATCACTAAGCTTTACTCGAACTGTACTTAGTCCTTAGTCTGAAAAAACAGTTTGTGTTGGTCCAGATGAAAGTGAAACCTTTGGAGCACGTCAGGATGAAAACTGAGCTGAAATCTCTTTTATAACTTGACGTACTGACACAGATTTAATATTCAGCTGTGAGGTTCCAACACAAACACAGCTCCAGTCAACGCAGATTCTCCAGCGGCCATTTGAATTGTGGAAATAAAGAGTTACCCACCGGTTGGTGTAGGTGGTGACCTCGGTGGGGTTGTTCTTCAGGCTCTGGCTGTATCTCTCTATGGCCTTTCTATACTCTCCTTTCTTCACCAGAGCGTTGCCTTCTTCTTTCTGCGCCTGGGCTTTCTTGATGTTTTTGTCACTGGGAGCTGAGGAACGAAAAGAGAAAGAAAAAAAATAACCATTGGTTCAAAAAGAGAGAAAATCTTTTTTTGTTTTGTTTGTAACTGGACGATTTAAATGTTAAATGTTCTCTTATCAATGTTCCATGAAAAACACGGCTCATGAAAAGAGACTTTCAAACTCGTTAGGATCGACATAACTTTAGTAGATCATTTCAGTTAAATATAAATTACTAAGATGTCCTCACCCTTTTTCTTTACTTCTCTGCTGCCGTTCTGTTTCGGGGTGTTGTTGGTAGTTTGCTGGGTGAGTTTCTCTCTGATGGACAGAGGAACCGTGGGGATGGGAGGAAGCTTTTCTCTCCATGAGGGACCGTCGGCCTCTGTGAGCGCCTTCGACATCCTGTGAAACAGAGACAACTGAAATACCGTCCTGTTTGCGTTCATCGACAGGAAGGTGTGTCTGTCAATATTGAATGTTCCACCACCGAGGAGGTTATGTTTTCTCCACCGTTGGTGTGTCAGCAGGATTACGCAATTTAGATTTTGTCCAGATCTGTTCTTGCCCAACGCCTCCACAGATTGTCCTGGGAATCGGTTCTGTAGTTCTTGTGTAATCCTGCTGACGGTCACACACACGTGACGAAGACGTGGATAAACCTGTGTTTCTTTTTTCCAGTCCTCTCATAACGGACATGGAGTCACTACTGCAGACCAGGTACCTGTTGGTGCCGTCGTGAGCAGCTGCGATGTTGCAGTCGATCTGCAGAGCCGTCTTGTAGTCCACATACGCCTGCCTGTACCGCTCCAGAGCTTCAGACGCAGCCGCACGACGGAGCAGAGACTTCACGTTAAACGGATACAACTCCAGAGACCTGACACACATGCAGAGTGTGAGTTAGACATTTTATCAGATTAGTTCTGTTTAGGGGCAAAACACAAAATTTTGGATTGCTACGATACAGAAACACTTACATGTTGCAGTCCTTCACACACTCGGCACAGTTTCCTTCCTTCAAGTAGCTGGCTGCACGATTCGAGTACAAAATGGCCAAATCTTCTGGATTCTTTTCATCTAACCAGGAAGAAAGAATCTTTAATAAAAGAGGAATGTTCCACCCACTGCACAGAACGAGGATTAAAAAAAAAATCATCCAGGTGACGGCTGAATACTTACTGGACTTCTCCAGCTCTTTGATGGCATCGCAGTACAGACCGGTGGCTTCTCCATACTGACCCGTCTTGAAGCGCTCGTTTCCAGCTTGTTTCAACTCCAACCAGGAGCGTCGGGGTTTCTGCTTCTGGGGCATCTCTTCGTTTTAGTTGCTACTAGAAGAAATTATATTTAAAAAAAAAAGGTTCATGAAAATAACTCGACCACATTTACACTTTCGACCCAGCAGGTTGTTTCCTGTTGGTTTCTGATGCGTCGTGAAGAGATGGACCGATTTGAACATCTCAGATCTTCTTCCAGTGTTTTTGATTCAGCATCATTTGTTAAAGACAAGCTTCACATCCGCTCCTCAGCTAACAACTTCTAATTCTTGCTGTCACGGGTCGAAACAAGTTTTTTGTGAGCGACACCAAAAGAGCCGACGCAACATTAAAACTGCATCGTCGTCCATCAACTATGTGGAATTCACTGAAATCATTCTTACTCATATTTCATTACGTTCTTGTGTTGGATTTAAACTAAAGTCTGATTACACTGAGTTCACGCTTGATGAGGTGGGATGACACATCAGATGTTGTTATTACATCCTGATGCTGTATGATCAGGATAT